TTGTCAGAGCAGCTTGGGCAGCCCAATAACTGTTACAATGACAGATGACAAAAGTATCTAATAAAAAATTCCCAAGGTCATTAATAATCTGTCACAGCAATTTCTTGTAGTGCTTACAAAATAATGGCCTACCTCTTTTTTTTCTAGACCACAGTCTGGATAAAGAAATGCCATTAATCTCCCAAGCTATACTGTACTTGCAAAAGGTATTGGGAAAACAGAATCTGTTGCTCGACTCAGTTCCTTCTCGCAACAGCCTCCCACCCTTGCAGCCTGACAAATGCATTTTCCCCACAGGGCTTGGGAGTAATGCTGCTCCTGCTCCCCAGCACAGTGGAGAAATACACTGTCAGATCTCCATTGCTAAGCAACACAAAGTTCTGCAGCAAGAGCTTCCCATACTGCAGCAGTGGGCAGTTGGCAGCTGGCTCATCAACTTTCTCCTGTGTCCTGGGGGTTTAAAAGCAGCACTGGTAGCAAAAGGCTGAGCCAGGCTGAGCAGCAAGACAGGCAATAGGATGCACTGAACAACATGGTAGGAACCAAGTAGTGTATTTTCAAGTTAAAAACCAACTCGGCTCACTAGCTACCCCAGCTGAATTATTGAGTTGTTCCCTTGAACACATCTTTCCTGTTAATCAACATACACCTTAAAAGTTCATCTTTCCATACGTGTAAAGCAGCAGCACATCACATTGACATAGAACGTAACAGACAAAAATCCCTCATAACAGAACGAACAAACTTTATTTGGTCATACGTTCAGGAAGAGATATGGCACTGCACTGCAGCCTTAAGGCTCTACTACATAATACAAATGCAACCACAATGTGACTTCATTGACAGTTCTCTCTTCTTAGAAGACATGATCCCAAGACAGAGCGGGAAGACATCTCAGCTTAAACTGACCATTTGCATGCTACGCGAGATGAGAGAACAGGAGAGGCATGACAGCACTAGAGATGTATGAGAAAGTGACAAAATACAAAAGAATAATTTCATTAAATCTTTGGTGCATGAGAACAGGCATGTCTTATGTATGCAAGTATCTACATCATTCAACTGAAGATCTCTTCACACCCTTCAAAACGTATCTAGACATGTATCTGTTTATGTATGTATACATTATCAGATCATCTTATGCAACTCATCTCTAGACAGAATACATCCAAATGTGAGGTTTAGAAATGCACTGCTAGTAATATGGGAAGTCTACAGTTTAAGCAAAAGTGTATATCACCACTTTGTCATGCACTTATTACCTGACAAACTGCACATCTTGACTTTATTCTCAGACAGTTAACATTAAAAGAAAAAAAAACACCCAACCAACCAAAACAAAAACACAGCACAAATTCCAGAACTCTCATTTCAGAAAGCATCAGGTAAGATGACAGCCCAAAAAATTACTAGTTTTGTTGAGGACAATGTTCTGAGTTGCCCAAGGATTGTGGTCTCTCTTTTTTGTTCCTTAAAGTCATTCAGTTTCTCAAATTAACACTGTTTAAGAGAAATAAAACATTGAAGACTGATACCAACCCACTAGTACAAGCTGTGCTATTTAACTTACAAGAAACCATCCTCAAAGCTTGTGCTACAGTACTTACTTCGTAAGATATTGAAGTATAAGATGTTCACCTAAGGGTCACCAAACAAGTGCAGGGACAAATCATCTTTCTGTTTCAGATGGCTACTCTGATCCTCCAAAGCAAATCTATTCAGATTTCATTACAGAAAGAGAATCCAACAATAGTATTGACTACCCTGATTCTTGCTAAACCCAGAAAATCTTCTGGAGTAAGCACAGTGTTTGCCATGCTTGCTCATTATCTTACATGCATCAGATTCTATCAGCCTTTTCTCTTCACCCTTCCTTTTCTAATGAGAACTTGACCCAGATGCTCTACAACCCCACCTCTGCAATAATACCCCGAGGCTGTCATCAAATTATTCTAGCAATTTAAGCAGCCCAACAAAGAAGTTAACCTGGTTTTTGGTTGGTTGGGTTTTCTGTATGGGGTTTTGTTGGGGTTGGATTTTTAGCTTAGCTGCTACAGCCAACAGCAGACCTGCAAATAAAATTTTAACTTGAAAGAAAAATTAGAGCTCTCTGTTACACTTCCTACTTGCCTTTTGTATTCTATGTATAGGGAAGGAAGAAATAACTAATCTTGGGATTACCAACACTTTCAAAAAGAGGCAACTTTCACAAAAAATAGGAGCAAATTCCCTGTTTTCACCAACACAGAACCTACAAAGGTTTGTTTTATAGGTCATCTAAATAAATGTAACTATCTTTAAAAGCCCACCAATTTCCAGTCATACTTTCTCAAAGCAGCACCATGCTATTTACGCTGTGATCCAGCAGTTGAAGGGTACATTATGATTTAACTACTGACTGCAGTTTGCTAGGCAACATGCTTAGCAGGCTTGACTTCACAAATTACAGTCACCTGGTCCAACATCTCAAAAAGACTGGTGAGAGTTTCTAGTTGTAGCTTACCTAAAGCAAACCCAGCAGGTTTTATTAGCTACATGAAACTAGTCATTGGGGCGGCCACTGGCATGCTTCAGTGTGGCACAGAGCAGCTTGCTTTAACGTTTACCCCCCTTCCTTATTTTTTTAGGGACTTAAAACTAAGATTTCTGACAGCAAAGCAGGCCACATTCTCTCCCCTTCTTTGATTCCAGTCTGAGCCCTGCTAGATCTTGCAATGTTTGGAACACTGATGTTCCTCTTGGCATAGACATAGATATACACTGTTCTAGAGGGAAAGAAAAGTCCTACAGGGAAGATTAATGGCTTATTTGCCTTCTAAATTGAATCTTGTTTACCTCACTTGAGAGTTATCAGTAAACCCTATTTCCTAAAGATTAATGCAGAGGGTTCCAGTGTCAACAGACGATACCATCTCCATGCTGAAACTAGCAGACGTGCTGTGAATTGCAATGGAAGTATAACAGACTGAAGTAATAGCAGAAAATAGTTTGGGGCAAATCATCTTTGAGGTGAATAATAAAAACAGGTTTTGCTGAGCAGCTTCTTATTAAAAATAGCATCAGATTTAAAAAAGAATTATGTAATGCTTCTATAAAGGCAAATACCACTAGGAGTGGTGTCATTATGGGCAACAGAAATTGTATTGTTATTGATAGTACTTTACCAACCTAAACATTCCTCATTACAAAGACCAATTTTCACCCCCACCTCCTTCTCACCAACCACCCACCAAAATCAACAATAGCTGATTCTATTTCTAGACCTGGTATATATTGAAGACTATATATTTCAGGAAAGCTTTACATATGAAATAGCCCTGAACAGAGCAATCATGACATGACTGGCTAAAAATGAAATGGTACAAAATAGCATCTGGATTTTAAGAGGACAAACACCTGGGGAATTTGCAGCTAGAGTCAGCTAGGATAAGAGAATCACAGAAGTTAAATGTGGAGGAAGACTGCAATTTCTTTCAGGCAGCAACGCCAAAATTCCAAGAAAAAACATTCCAAAGAGGGGATAAAAAAAAAAAATAAATTAGAAATCCTCCAGACTCATTAGGAGACACATGAGAAGCAATCAGAGAAGGAATGGAAAGAAAAGGCTAGAGTTATATTGTAATTCAAAATTGCTTCAAAATATTGTGCTAGTCACAATAAAAACAAACATTGGAAAAATGTTTTCCTGCCATATAAAGAGAAAACCCTAACTTCATAGAGAGTCCAGGTTACAAGTTAAGGCTGATCTAAAATTATACTTGGCACATAAAGCAACAGAGTTACATGTAAATTCAACAGCAAAGGCTACATGATCATAGAGGCGAACACTGTCAGACCTATAATATAAAAGAAAGCCATAAATTAAAGATAGCATACAATTAAGTCACAAGGATCTTCAGAAGAGATTTTTCTAATAGAAATGAAAGCAGTGCCAATGTGAAAGGCAGCAAAGAGAAAATACTTAAGAATTACTACATAATACTTGCTGGGAATCTAAAATCTCCTTCTGACCATCATGGCAGAAGCCTGTAACTCCAGTACCCCTTCAGCCTCACACTCTCTCCTTATGCTACACTCAGTGCTGACTACATCTTCAACTCTCAATTTCACTCTTCAAACTCCTTGTCCAGTACAGATGCTTTATTTTCTCCTGAGCACGCTAACTTAATCATCTTCCCCCAGACCCAGTCATTGTCTTTATAAAGAAATATAAAGAAGTTTAACAATATCAGCTTTCACATCATACTGAAGTGTAAGAAACCAGGTTCCAGTACCTGACGAAATGCAGTCAATACCAGGATCTAAGGGCTTTGCTTGCAGTAAAGGTGAACAGTCCTTACCACAGGTAGGGTTAGTAGAGCAGCTAAGATTATTCTCCTATGGATTTAAATAGGCTTCTGCACACCAGAGAGCTGGAGGGAAGGGAGTTATTTGAGGGCAGGTTTTCAAAACTTGCCCTTATCATCAAAATTCTATATTTTGAATGCCTTCCCCCCCCCCCACCTTCATTCCAGTCTACAGGTTCAGGAACAAGTCACACATCAAGTAACAATGTCACCACCACTTTATCAAGATCTTGTTTTAAAAGCTGCTTTAAATTTCACGTAGGTCCTAGCAGTGCTTTGGCATCTTGCAGAAGCATTTTGTCTTGAACCACATTCTCATGGAATTAAACACAAAGACCTAGGTAAGATGAGGTTGTTAAAAAAAAAATCATTTATATTCATAAACGGACAGACACAGTTTAGCTTTGGCAACAATATGAACATATTAAACCCCAAAAGAGAGTTTAGTGAAGTAATTCACTGAAGTATCCCTGAAATAAGCAATACACTTCTACCATGCACACTTCAAAAGATTTATATTAAAAATCGAATTTGTTAGGAAGTCTGGGTTGACTTCCAAAGAGGGTGGCGTGGACAGAAATGTTAAAACCAAAAAGCAAACTACCAAACAAAAGAAAATCCCCAAACTCCCCACCAAACCAGAAAACAGCCTACCAAATATGTTGGTGGAATGTCCTTTCCGGGCAATTGGTTTGAGCTCATTATGTCCCCATCCATACTGCCTATAATTGTCCCAGGCATGCTTCATCATCTAAGAGATGGGGGGGAAAAAAAAAGGATTTGATTACATTATAAAATTACTTTGTACAAATACAGTATTTTACTCCTTGAGACTTTATCTTTCACAGTTATCCCAGCACACTGATAATTACTTTGCTGCTATTTCCATCTGTTACAGAAATCAGATTATACAGCATGAATAAATTTGGAAACAACGTCTATTTGACTCAAGCTACAGAACCTAATTAGGTTCTGTATTAGGTACTTTTCTTGTTCTTTCTTTCTTTTCCTTAAATATACACACAAACATTTAAGAATTCAGGCATCAGGAACTGGTGGAAAGTACTGGCAGAAAGTACTGGCTAACATCTAAGACACTAACCAAAAGGAAAAAATAGCTACCAATATCTGAAGCATATGAGGGAGTTATTTACACTGGTGCATCCAAGTATAACCACATAATTTTGCAAAAGGCATAATACATTTTTTTTATTAGCAACACTTACTTGACAAAGATACACTGTCTTACAGCCTCTACCAAAAGAAATGCAAGAAGCTTTGTTCTTTAGGAAGCATAATGAACAAAGCAGTATAAAGCTGTCAATATTTACTCCACAAAACATTCTCAACTCTTTGTAACAGATGTTGCCATCACCTAGCAAGCAAGTTAAATCTAAGAAATAAAAGGTCTTCGTGACCCACGAGCACTAGTTGTGCACATAGGCTGCTAAGAAGTGCTTTTATGGATTTGCTAAAGCTTTTCAAAGTTCTTGCTTGCTGGTTACAGCAGAATTTCAGTGGCTACCAAATTGCAAAGCAAATACAATTAAAATAAAAATAAAATTATCGATTACCTAAACAGATCAAAGCAAGTAACAGAAAGACTCCAAAAGACACTGCCCCAGACACAAGAACAGTTGGTCATAAACCAGTTCTAAAACAGCAGCCATGTGGCTGTATCCACAATGTTCAACATACTTTTTACATTACTGCTTCAAAATGGTATTAAAACATTGTTAATATCAACAAAAAACCCAAGAATATGTATAGGACTTAAATCACAATTTCCACAAGCTTAAGAAATAATCTCTTAAGATGAGAAACTATGCTAATATAACTAACAGACCAACACTAACCCTTTTAAGAAGCTGATTATATCAGGGCAAGTAAAGTTTTCTCCAATTTACAAGACTGTAGCTTCCTTATTTTAACCACAGGGTCACCGTGCTCATAGAAAACAGGAGGGAATAAGGAAGTGCTGGCTAAAAAGTCCAGTGCAGCCAGCTGCCTTAGCCGCACTCCCTCACATAGACACAGTTCTCTTACTGAGTTCAGGATATAGTGGAAGTCAGCATCAAACTGCACCTAAACTGCATGCTGAGACATGCCCTGTCTCCCTGCAGCTATCAAGAGATCCCTGCCCAACCTACACAGCTGTAATTCCTTTGACCATAAACCCCCTCTAAATTTCCCATGGCTCAGTTAACTCATGCCCAGACAATAAATGTGAACCACAGCAAAGGTATACGCACAGGCCTAGCAGCTGGGGAGCACTCCTGTGTTAAACCGACATCAACCTAGGCACAGATGTCCCTCTCAAGATGCCAGAGGTCCCACTCCTACTGCTTGTCAAAGTCAGCTCACGTGTTGCTTTCTGTATTTGCACTAAAAGATTCTGACACCTGATTAGGCAATAAAACGGTATTGTTTCTTTTAGTGTCATCAACCTGCAATGTAAGAAAAAGAGGATGCAAATATTATACTAAAAAAAGGAAAGAAAAGCCATTTCATTAGCATTCACAAATTCCTTACTGTTTACAAAGCATGTATCAAAGTGACCAGTTAATAGCTATTAGAACTTCGAGATGACTCGGGTAAAATGATCCTCTCTTGACAGGTAACAAAACTAGAGAGTGACAAATGCAATAAAAGCCTGATCACAGGCAGAAGTTCCTCCAAGATCTCTTGCTAACCTTATCCAGAATCAACCTACACATTTTTATATCGTATTGTTTATCAATTTAAGATCATAGAATCAAGAATCACAGCCTCATTCGGCAGGAAAGGACCTCAGGATGTCTTCCATTTAACCTCCTACGCAAAGCAGGATCAGCTATGGGATCAGACTGGGCTACTCAAGGTTTTACCCAGTCAGAATGGGACACTCAAGACCTCCATGAAGTGTTCTGCTCTAACTCACAGTTTGCCAGTCCACTTTTAAGTCTTAAAAACTCCACTTGGGAAAACACAGACCTACAGTTTTAGAAGGTATTAGATGGTGAAACTAAAGAATTACTGACTTCTGTGCTCTATATGAGTTTGGTAACGGCTCTACACAACAAGGTGCCCATGACATGGCAGATCTAACCAACTTGCTTCCACAAAAGGGAAACCGGGCTTCTGAGACCTCTGGATGTGTCAGATATTTCATGAAGAATAACCAAATGACCACTGACATTTTATCTCTTTAAAAATCTCAAAGTGTTGGCAAACTCCACTATAAACCAAAACTAGTTAAGTCCAAAATAAGAACAACAACTTGTTTCCTCATGGGAGAATGTTAACTGTGGAATATTTTACTGTCCCAGTTTGCTTCTGGGAGGAAGGTACAGATTTTATTACAGACTATTTAGTTCTGAGAAAACCCAAGAAAAGTATGGAAATGACAAAGGGCTAAAACAGACTAAATCACAGTCTGTTTCTATATCATTATGAGAAAATTTATCCTAAGGTTAAATTCCATTAAGATAGAAACTGTAAAGGAGTCAATTTCATCAGATTCATGAATGCAGAAGTAACTTAAGAACACACTGCTGAGACCAGAAACTGCTGAACATAAGAGACTGACCCAGGTGACTGCATCATCTAAGGTTCTAAGATAGGAAATCGCTTTTTGAGATTAAGCTACTTTGATAAACACAGACAAATGTTCTGTCCTGTCCCATCTGTCTCCCCCAAGCGGTGTACAAAGAACATGGTGTTATAACTCTTCAAGAATATTTTGACTTCACTATACTAACTTGTCAACTGATTTTTTTCCAGATGAACACTGGATATTACTCTGGGACAGAGCTCATCAGCACCAAGTAAGCAGACTTTAGGGCATCATGTTAGCAAATGATTGCACGCTACATGCAAGTGAGAAACCCCACAGCTCTTGTGTTTGTAAGGATGACCTGCCAAGAGATCTTATAACAACATGGAGATTTCTGTTACTGCTGGAGCTGGTAGCACGATACACTATAGGTACAGCATCTATACTACTGGGAGCAGCTGTGCACACAGAAGCTTTTGAGAGATAAAATATGATAAATGCACCTGCCAGTTAACAATTGAACAGAGGATGCCACTTTAGGTCAGGAAGTACAAGCAACGTGAACTACTGATCTGAAAAAACAGGATTCTCTCTGTGAATGTGCCAGGTAGCGTTTGCATAGTGAAGGGTGGAAATGCTGAAGAAGAGCTGCAGGTATAGATAGGCTTTTCCTCAAAAAAAAAAAAGACAACTGGTCTTTAAGAGGAGACAGACAGGCCTTCGAAACTGACTGGAACATCAGCATTAATGATAATAGAAAGAAAGCAAAAATACTTGCAAAAAACCACCCCCAACCCTTAAAGAACCCATGCAGAGGCATCTTAAACTCAGCAGATTGGGAATAACAAGCTGGCTCAAGCATGGATCAATAATTATGAAAAAGGCAAAGCAGAGATTTCTGTAACTGAAATTTCCATACCTAACAGCAGTCTGTCAAAGTGAGTGCTTGGAGCTTGATGGCATATCACATAAAGATCTTCCAATCTGTCCACCAGAGAACAAATAATTTTAGTGATGAACTTTTTATCGACGCTTTTCATGCCAGATTTTGCTTTTGAAAGCAAAATACAGGATAGGTCCAGTGAATAACAGCCTTGAAAATGTTTATTGGGATGCACCACATACAACAGCCAGCAAGATGTTGTTGCATGTGCAACTTGATAGTTCAACAAAAAGATGAATTTGGACTCTGCTGAAAGCAAGCCAAAATGGCAAGAAGCAGGGCATGCCAAATGAAACCACTTTTGTAGGTACACAATTATCTAGGTGCTTTTACTAACTTCAGAACACGTTCATAGGATCTGATGATCTGTAGTCACTAGGAAATCAGTTTTTTTATAGAGACAGAGCAGTAATGATGCCTTTGACAAAATCATAATCGCAACAGTAAAAGGAGGTTACAGCAATTGGAAAGAGACTTTAGTAAGGGAGTTCTATCACTACAACAGCATGTTAGTAATTCAAACCAAAGACTGGTTCAAAAGCCCCTTTCCACTCCTCAAAAAAGGGCAGACACATAGCAAACAGAAAATAAGAGTCCTGAAAAATAAGCAAAGGAAACAATTTACTGGCAAATTGCAATATATACTGGTTGTGCCTAGAAACGAGAAGCTTACCCTCTTCCTGCCCTTCCATCAGGAATGTGCATAAGAGACAGCAAATAGAGTTTGCTTCCAAAGGAATGTCTTCTGGTCAAGGGTAGGATTTCAAGAGATTTATATTAGCCACCTTCAAATTCCGTTTTAAAATTAACCCAGGACTTGCTAGACAATATCACTGCTCAACTGGCAGATTAAAAATTAATAACTACTTTCCTACTGTTTGCAGAGAATATTTTTTGGACATTAAAGAATGACCTTTTCCTTGTATAGGTACTCACATTTATGAAGAAACCTAGAAAAATCATACAGGTTATATTATTCTTTTGGGAGCCACAAATCTCTACCTAAAGAGAAATTATTTCAGGCATCAGTCTATAACTCCTTCATGCATTTCTGAACACTGCAATGAAAAAGTCTATTTGGAACATGTTCCTAACAGGCACAGAAAGCTGAGGGTTTTTTTTTACTGATGAACCTGGTAACAAATCAATTGCTAAAATAAAATTGGTTACCAAATGTGTACAAAATGGGAAGCTTGTCCTTTTTTGTTGGCAGGAAATACTTGAAGTCTAAGATGCCTGATGGAACTCTCAGGCCGGTGGGAACTGGAACAGG